TTTTTCGACCGTTGTCGTTGTTGTCGTTGTTGGCGCGGCTGTTGTTGTAGGCGTCATAGGTACTGCAAAAGTCTGCGGTCAATGTTAGTGAATTTATTTAAATTTGCAAGAATTGCACCAAAATTGAGTTGCGAACGACACAGAGTGCGAGCTAGGAATACTCTGATATACGAAGGTAATTCTGAGGAAGTTTTTCAGATTTTCCGCAACTACAGAGATGACGGTAGCATGAAATGAGCGGAAACGAATTAAACAAAAATGCTTTTTTCTTTTTGTTTTAAACATTTACACTCTAATTTGTCACAGAAAGCCAACGTTTTGCGAAAAAACAAATTGTTCTTTATGAATTTTTCCAATTTTTAAGTTCTATTTCATTGCCTAGCGATTTATCGACATTCGATTCGCGAGCACACGTTTAACATAAAGATTTACAATGAAGTTTTTGGCCTTTAAAAATTAGCTTTAAATTATGTTGACTGGTGGGCGAAAAAACCAGTTTTACGAGGTGGCAAATTTAACTTATAATTTCCCAACCATTGCTTTTTAACCTTGATTTTTATTAGAAAACATGGTAAATAATTATATTACTAACAGTTTTGCAAATTTTTATTATACAATGGTTTGATTGTGTGAAAAGCTCACGATTTTTATAGGGTTACGTACTTTAGTAAAACAACAACAAATGTACTTCGTGTCCCCTTCCTTCGCTCATTAAATTCTCCTTTCCAGCAATTTTAATTATTTTTCCCAAGTTAAAATTTTTTTTCTGCTTTTGCTTAATTTGAAATATTTTTCGCTTTTTCCAAGAAATGGCGCTGAGCATGCTCAAGAGTTTGCGAGATACGAACGAGAGATAGGCAGAAAAAGTTCAGGGCTCCACTTTTCCAAGATAGCAGAGATTAAGGGTAAATCTGAATCTACATGCACAAGCGTTTATAAGTGAATTTTAGTAGGTGCTCAAGAAAGGTGGAAAAAATGGGGAAAAAAATAATGTCAGCCAGAACGAATGGCATTGGATTTAATTATCTTTCTGTCCCTACGTATGGAATTCTGGCCACTGGTGAATTAAAGGGTTTACTGACAAGTCTCTTGCTGCACAAAATTCCTTAATGAGGAGCTTCAGTGAGGTTTTCAGTCGGTCGTTCAATCGTAATATTCTAAAACTGTTTTTAAAAAAAGAAAAAATGAAAACAGAAACTCAGAATGCTACTGAAGCTTAAATTACAGAACCAGACGCATTTATTTGCTTTCATTCGTCACACTTGTTTCCAAGTGATGACACTACATATACCTTGGATGCGGGGCGTGTAAGAGGCAGCAGAACCATTTCCGGCTGCACAGATGTAAAGCGTATACTCTCCTTCAGCTGAAAACCAGTGAAACCCCTGAGTTTCATCTGATATAGTCTGGTAATAACGTTGCACCTTGTCGTATTTAAACACTGTGTAAGAATCTGAGTCAATTGGTTTTCCGTCATGTGTCGACGTGTTTCGTGTCGTCTCATCGCCGATGATCTTAATTTAATCTCGTAATAAAAACCAAATTTGTTTATGAATTCAAGATGACATGGTATCCT